CTCGGTAATCTGTCAAAGGTACGCTGAGTGGCTGAACTTGGCGTAAGAAGTGACCACCAAACTGTTTGAACCCTAAGTTGACCCTGAGGAGATAAGAGAAACCATCGGTAGAGACCCCGCAGAAAAAGAACTTATCGTGTATTATTCAGCGGTCTAAGACCACAGTCTCAATGATGTACGTGTCATACCAGCCGCCACCAGAGAGAGGAGAAAGGTCACGTAAGGAAAAGAGCCCTCAAGTTTGATTTAAACCCAGAGAAGATTCACCCATAGCAACCACAGTTGAAGAAATGGAAGCCGAGGCCAACAAGGGGACGGTGAATTGTGTACGTTCGGAAGCGTAGACCTGTAGTCCGAAGATATAACTCGTGGGTGGGCAAATATACTAGAAGTAAACATCTCCTTCATTTATCGGATTTAAGGATTTCAGATCCCTATTCGGATGGAAACACGCCAGAACAGGTAAAACGGCAACGACAACTCATTTAGGATGGACGGCATCTGTTAGAGGGGAATGGGAATGCCTAACCGCCAGCACCTTGAGAGGATATATGCGACATCGATGTAAAACCGCAAAGCTGATAGCGTAACGAGTACGCAAAGCGGATCCTCGATTTCAAAAGAAGTTGGCCGATCTGATCAAGGGGCTGTTATCGGAAAATATAATAAAGCCTTCGGCGTCTCTGGATCAGCCCAATCATTATTACTGTCAAGAGAAATTAGTTGGAAATCAGGCAATGCATCGACTACAAAATGGTGAACGACTTGACTCAACTAATGGTCCACCCCATGCCTCTGTTTAATGAATTACTGAAAGATTTAACAAGGGACTATTGTATTGCTCATTGGATATAGCGAGTGTTTTTTAATAGTAGGTATGACTGAAAGAACGAGACGAATTTGGGCGTTCGTTACCCCACTCAGTTTGTTTGAATTAATGCGAATACCGTTAGGGCTAAGAAAAAAATCCCCAATTTATAGCAACGACTCCTGGATAACGCTTTATATAGGCTCTATAATATTCCTTCAGAAGCGGAGACAGATGGGTCTGAGAATTCGTTCTAGGTGGGAGAGCCAGATGAACAGTCGTTTTTCTAAACCCTAGGTTGGCATCTACATATAAATGACATTCTGATTCCCGAACAATGTGGGACGCGTTATGCACAAAGGTCGAACGGTTGTTGGTGTGCGACTGCAAAACTTTTAAATTTCCTCCGTCAAGAGCTCGTTGGGATTTCGGAAGGTCGACTACCTTGGACACAGAGTATTTTAAAGGACTAATATATTACCCGAAAAACATTAAATCTCTGGTCTACGTACCCCATACAAAAAAACTGATGGCCATGCAATATTTCCAGGAAAGCATGAATTACTACAGCATGTTTTATGAGATTTATGCCGCTGTCCTTCATATCACCCGTGGTGAACTGCGACTACTGTGACTCAGTTAACACTCCTTTAAGGACCCGCACCCCTCATTACACTATGGGGATTTACCGGCCAGTAGGGCCTCTACCCCACCCAACTATCACACACCTTAGGTGCAGGTTGGAAGGGCGGCCAATTATTTGTGGTTGCTCGTCTACTGCATTGGCCTATCTCCGGCGCACAGTAATCGAACCCTCCACCAGGGTATCAATGCAGGTAACTCTTGGTAACCGTTCCGGTGGTCGACCACTCGGCCACTGGGGTCAGCTTTTCAGCATGTTTTGAGGACTATCTATAGAGTGCATCTATCCTCTGGAAATATGAGACGTATACTTTATTGCCCGACAAAACTAGTTTTAAAGAGATTATAGTAGAACTACTACTACTACTGCTAGGAATGACATTGAAGAATGTTAGGCCCGCGTTCGAGTAGCCTTCGCCATGCTAAAGAAATAAAATTGCCACAACACCAATTATGAGATAGTTCGACCCAACCTAGAAGCCGTGATTATAGCCTTTGCGAGTGAATCGGCCATTTTGGCGTCACTGATAAGTGATTATCAAGGGTTGCTCATGCAGGTAATCTTTGCAAGCAGATTTTCGAGGCTTACTAACTAAATTAAAGTACAGTAAAAAAGAGACGTATGGCCGATTGCGTATACTGTAGACCTGCTCTATTATGCTAGTCACTCGTCTCCTCAAAGTTTCGACAAGAAACTCAACATTAGCGTGGTTGATGGAGTCTACCGACTTGTAAGAAAGTTAGGAAGCTGGTTCGCTCTCTTTTCGTAGTGGGCTTTGGAGATCGTAAAGTTTTATATGGTAAAAACCAGGTGGTTGAAGCGTTAAGAGCCAGTGTCACCCTTCGAGAGAGCGTAGACTCAAAATTTTCGGCTATGTACATAGGACGCAGGTGAGGTTGTGTCAACCCTACCTTGGAACTAGAAGAAGAAGTACAAGTATTGAGTTTTGACGGGTCAGTCCGTGTCAAGCAAGGAGATGGGGCTTGTAGCACTATCGTATCGAGACTCCCGACTCGTTCCGTAGTTAAATCCGCCTCCAAACATCGTTATAAATATACAGTAAAGGAGGCGGAAGATGAGGATGTGTTGCTAAAATTTAAATTTTTGCAATCTTTGGAGCGGCAACGGTATTTTATCTGCGGAGGGTTTAACCTGGTGTTGCGGTAGATGAAAGAAGGTAGTAAGTTAAAGGCCTTAGGTCTATCAACACTGTAAATCCGGGCTCAAAACGAATTATAATTGTGGCCTAATCCTTCATGTAAACATACCTTTAGAAGAAGGTGGATCAGTTGGCATGTACCACCTTGCACTTAAAAGAGGGGACGAATTCGGTGCCGGGAGAAGAAAGACCAGGCTTGGAAGTGATCAATTGTCTATCAGAGCTGCTAGCTTTTAAAGACCAGACATTTCAACCACAACATTAAAATGTTAATGTAGTAGTAGTATCCTATAAATACCCGGAGAGATCATGCAATAGAAGGCAGTACAGGGACTTCTCTTGGACCGAATTCGAAAGACGCAAGAAGTAGAGAGATGGGTGCAAGATTTCAAGGCAAATCTGAAAGGAGACTAAAATGACCTGGCGGTGAAATCCGCAAAAAAATGCAGCAAAATGTACAGAGATTGCAGACCTAGACATAGCGGTCAGAGTGGTGATGCCGAAAAGCCATATACTGACTTCCTCCACCATTACCGTACAATTTCAAAGGGGGGTCATCAGGAAATAGTATGTACTTACTAACGCATACTTCTTTACTGTCAGTGAAAAGGTCTGTTTTGGAGCGTGTAGAGATGCATAGTTTCTCGTTTGAATTGTAAGACTGGAGAAGGGAGACCTAACCTGCAATGAAAGATCTCTACAAAACGGCGAATCGAGTAAATATTTCCAAGTCATAGCTATAGACCATATTCCGTCCCTTTTTAAGCCGTAAAAAGGAGATACGGAAGTTCTAATATTGTAACGGGGCACCCTGAAGCTTGTACTGGTGACAGTACAAGCTACTTATTCTGATAACAGAATCAGGCGGTGCCTCGTAACTTCACGTACACTCGTACGTGCAGAGGAAGACGGTAAGAAGAAGCGAGTACTCGGTTAGAGTAAAAAGTAGAACTGTATTTATAATAGTTAATGTCTGCAATAAATCACTATTTATCTTCATCTAACTATGTCTAAATACAAATGTGTAAATCAGTTATCTGCTCACCACTCATTGCGTGCGTCTGTCGTGGCGCGTCTTCGTTGGTTGATATAATGGCCTATATCAACCAATTAGGAACTACTTGGAAGTGCTACCGAATATTGTCCTTATGACAATATTCTGAGAATATAACTCTTATAGTTATATTCTATTAACAATTTCTTATAAATTGTTATGTAACGATTCACCCCGTTACATCACCCCCTAACCATCAGTCACTTTAGTGACTGATTGACTAAATGGATACTCGTCCCAAATCATTTGGGACGGGGTTTGCACTTGTTGGTCCGCGTCCACTTTCCAACATCTCATCGCATGGTAAACAAGCCCATGCGATGCGCGAGCAAGGCCGCCGAGAGCGCGTCTGCACGTCTCTGTGCGGACGCCGAAGCAGAAACTACAGCAACTGATGTCCCATCGGTTGCTGAATCGACTCAGCCTGTATCACCTGGTGATGCAGGCGCTGGTCATGAAGACACTCGTGTCTTCACAGAGTACGAGCTCGGTGTCTCGTACTCTCCTGATACGGATGACGGATCCGTATCGACGGCAATTGAATCCAAGCCGCCTGCCAAGCGTGGCATGGACGATGCTTTGCGTCGCAGCATCTTTGGTTCATCTGATGAGTCAGATGAACCATCGCCGAAGCGAAGGCGCTCGAGGTCGCGAGACTCGGGCGCTAATAGTGGTGTCGGTTCTCCTATGGACACCACTTCACAGCGAGGTGCCAGTACTTCTGTCGGCACGTCGCAGGAAGAGCGGGACCGCAATGTGTTGCGTCTCGCTCCAGAAAAGAAGGCATGGATGCCTCCTAAATCCGTCATGGATCACTTGTCGGCGACGACGAGTGATCGTTATCGAACACGATTGTTCGATTCGTCAAGGATCCATCACTTGACCCCAGCGCGAAAGACTATCGCGCTGAACATGAGTTCTTCATCGATGCTTTCTTCAGACATCGATGGTACAGTGGGAATCACAAACGTGATGGTCCCTCACTACTTCAGGCGTGGAACGCCTACATCCATAATCTCGAGGATGTAGGTCGTGACGCTTGGAACGACAAACTTATCAAAGCTCGTGATAAGTTTGAAAAGCGAACCCCGACAGGTGCACGCTACAAGCTGCATCGTCTGTCAAGGGAGAAAGGATTACCCTGCCCTCTCTTGGGGAGACTCGTGCCCATGTTGTGTGAACAACTCTGCACGAGCACCTAAGGAGGCTTACCTCCTTACCAGCCCGTGGTGGCGCGTACGTGTCTCTACTGAGATGTACGAAGGGATTGACAACCTGAAATCCCTTTACGACCGTGCCGGGAAGACTTTCTCCGGCGGTCCTTCTGCGGCACAGGATGTGTCGCGTCGTACTGCTCGACCAGACCCAGTACGTCAACCATCAATTGGGAGCGGGGCTCCCAAGAATCCCAGGACGGGGGATAGCCGCGCCACCGGACGAGGTAACTCGTCCGACGTCCAGTTCACGTCGCGGTGGTTCAACAGCTGCTCTACTAGATAGCGCTGGCCACCGCGAGAGTCCTCTAATGGAGGTGGAGGAGGAGGAAAGACGCTCTCCACACGATCATGTGGATCGGTGTGTTCCCGAGAGCTTCTTTGATCGCGTAACGCAAGGGTTACGCGACGATCTCGAGCATGAGCGGAATAGGCGTCTCCAGATGGTGGACACTGCCTCGAAGCATCGAGCTGAGTTTGCCTTTGCTCAGCTTGAGAACGAGAGATCTCTGACATCTCTTCGTGACGAGCTAAGGGTAGCTCGTGGGATTGTTGATCGGTCTCGGGCTGAGATAACTGCTCTTCAGACCCTTGTTGATGCCCACCATCGGGAGCACAAGGCTCTCTGCGAGATGCTTGAGCGCAAGGGCGTTCTTCATCGGAAGAAGCAGCGTACTGATGGTACGGCTTAAGCCGACCAACGTAAAACGTGGGATGCGTTCGCATCTTACGTGGTAACTCGATCGTGTATGCATTGCCTAGGCGGTGCAATACACGAAATGGGCCAATGTACTTGGGTAGTAGTTTACTGCTACCCAAGTTAGTCACTACATGTTTTGGTAGATTAACCGTAGACAGTAGGACTAAGTCACCTTTATTAAATAAAAGAGTGTTTGCCCTTCCATTCTTGTCAGCGTTTTGCTTTTGCTTATCCACCGCTTCGGCGATGGAGTCTTGCACAAAACGGACTACCGTTTCACGAGCCAGTATGAACTCATCTGATGACTCGTTAGCTTCAGTGTGCTGTGAGCGCACTGCAGCAACAACAACCTTTTCTTCAGTGAGGGCTTCCGCACTCTCACTGGGATCATTGTCTTCAGTGAGGGCTTCCGCACTCTCACTGGCATCATCTTCTTCGATATCGATGTTATCGATATCGGCATCAAACGCAATGACTTCTTCGTCAGAGCGTGATGAGCGTGAACCAAATCGGTTTTTGCTCGCGCGAGTCCCTCCCCCTTAAACCAGAGTTACACTCTAGTAAGGTGGGTATACGCGGATGGCGCAAGCCATTCACGTAAAACGGTGTATGTGTCGTGGACGCATGCACCGAGTTGTTGATGGCAAACTCTACCATTGGCAAAAACTCACTCCAACTCTTAAAGGAGTGTACGTATCCTCGAAGTATCTCTTCAAGGACACGATTGGCACGTTCCGTCTGACCATCTGACTCTGGATGATCAGATGTCGACATCTTCAAGCGCGTTCCGAGTGATTTGAACACGGAGCGCCAGAAATCAGCAGTGAATCGTGGATCTCTGTCTGATACGAGTTCACGGGGCAACCCATGAAGTCGGAAGATGGTGTCAATAAAGACACAAGCACAGCCACTTGCCGTGATTGTCTCTGGTACAGCCACAAGGTGTACCATTTTGCTGAATCTGTCAACAAATACGAGAATACCTGTATTCCCGCGTGCGTCTTTGGGTAACTCCGAAGACGAAATCCATTGAGATGGATTCCCAGCACTCAGCCGGAACCGGTAGAGGCTGTAAAGGTGCACGCAGTGAAGGACTTGACTTCACTCGTTGGCAGACTTCGCATGCGCGAACATACTTTCGCACAAACTGATACTGGCGGGGCCAGTAAAAGTCTCGACTTACCGTGAGATATGTTTTCTCTCGGCCACGATGTCCTCCTATAGGAGCATCGTGATACTCGAACATGATCCGCAAACGCAGATCAATATCATCTGGAATGACAACACGTGGTGTGTCACCAGAAACGGCTGTATAGTACAGTAAACCGTTATGAGTAGTGTATCGATCTGATGCAGATCGATACGCAGACGACAATCGTTTCAACGATTCTCGAGATGGTTGGGAGAGATGTGACAACAACTTCACTATCTCACCATCTTGGGCGTATGCCCGCCTCACATCATCATACAACATTGTAGATGGGACTGAGGACGTCATAACCGCAACAGTGACTGTCTCACTGTTGGGTTTCGCGACTGTTTCAAAGTCGGGACGACGTGAGAGTGCATCAGCGACGACATTAAGTCGTCCTGGTTTGTACTCGACCGTAAAGTTGTATTCTGCAAAGAATGACAACCACCGCGCCATTCGTTGTGAAAGGTGCGGGCTGTTCACTGCCGTGCGTAAGGACGCATGGTCAGTGTAAACAACGAAGGGTCTATCTCCTAATAGATAGACTCTGAACTTCGCGAGTGCATACTTCATGGCAAGGAGTTCCTTGTCATGCACTGGATAGTTCCGCTCAGCTGGTTGCAGCTGACGCGACTGATAGCAGACGACGCGTTCAACGCCTTCAAGGTCGTACTGCATTAATGCACAGCCGATTGCGAAATCGCTGGCATCACAGACCACATGAAATGGCCTGTCCTGATCGGCTATTGCTAGGACTGGGGATTGTATCAAGCTCTGCTTGATACCCTCAAAGGAGCGTTGACATTCAGCGTTCCATAACCACCTCTCGTTCTTTTTCAACAAACGAGAGAGGTGTACAGTCATCTCGGCGTAATTGCGTGAATACTTATGCAAATACGCCGCTAGCCCAAGGAATTTTCGAAGACCTTTGACATCGACCGGCACAGGCCAGTCGGTGATCGCCTTGATCTTTTCGGGATCAGGACGTACACCGTTCTTACCAACGATGCACCCAAGAAGTGGTATTTCGCTTGCTGCAAATATACACTTCTTGAGGTTAGCATACAATTGATGCTTTCGCATGATTGTAAGAACTTGTCGGACGTGGTACCTGTGAACCTCAACGTCCGACTTTCCATCCATAGCTCGACTATGGATGAATACGTCATCGAAATAACTCGGCGCGAACTCTCGTATTGGTCTCAACAGATGTGATACACATCTGTTGAACGTGGCAGGGGCATTACTGAGCCCTTGTGGCATTACTAGCCATTCCCAGAGCATGCCGCTAGGCGTGCTAACTGCGGTATAGGGTATATCCCGTTCCCGCATTAGGATTTGATAGAAGCCATCCATCAAATCCATGGACGAAAAGATGGTACTCTTTGACATGCCATCAATGATTACGTCCTTCCTCGGTATCGGCGTCTGAGCCGGTACCGTTGCAGCGTTCAATTTGTTAAACGCGTGCACTATCCGCCACCCTCCTGTTGCTTTTCGCACACAGAAGGTCGGAGAGCTATGTGGGGAAGTTGATTCCCTCACATGGCCCGCTGCTAAACGATCGGCAAAGAACTTGTCGATCGCAAGTACTTGTTCACGAGGCAGTGGCCACTGCTTCATGACACAGTACTTCGAGCCTGGTTTAAGCTCGACCTCGTGTCGAATACCTTTATCCTTCGGTAATTCGCACGGAACAGTTTCAGGGAATACATCCTTGAATTCAACCAAATCTTCATAGAGAGGGATTTTCCTTGAGCGATTCCCATGATTGGGACTCATATCGCTCAATTCGTGTCTTTTCATCTAGGACACTCTCGTCCATAGATGAACTACTGAGAACTCTCTCGTTCTCAGTAAACACTGTTGCTGACCTTATGTCGGTTACATACTCGTCGTCAGCGACGAGTATGCAGATCTGCTTGACTTTGCCACTACGCAGATCACGCAAGAACCTTTATGTTCGAGCGTTGGCAACTGAGTGATCTCCGAAGTTAACTTCGGGAGGCGCAATCAGATCAAGTGTATAAGCGCCTACACATGATCCGTTATTGACTATGACATTCAATGTCTCTGTCATTTCCTGGGGACTTATTCCCCTCAGGCTTCGAAGGACTTATTCCTTCGTCTTCCCGGGGACTTATTCCCGCGGGTTTCGGGGAACTTATTTCCGCCGTATTTGTAATCTTGGGACTTATTCCCTTTACTTCCTCTAGCTGGGGTTGCGCAACCACAGCGAGATCCTCTACGAAAGACTCTCCAGTCGATCTAGGATTATCGTTTCGCTTAACCTGAGCGATCGATTGTTTCTCTTCTAGATGTTCCCCTCTAGGGATACATCTTTGTCCCAGTCCACCCGACTTATTCGAGTGGTGGACCTTCGGCGCAGCCTGTGTTTCCTCACAGCCGCCGGAACTTGGCTCCGAAGTGTAACCGTTTGGTACACTAAGGTTTTGTGCAGTCGTACTAACGACCGTACCACAAGTGAGGCCATCGCACTCACTCGTAGTACATCCACACGCTTGTGGACGTTTCCAAAACGTTCATCAGATGGCCATCTGATGAACAAGCGGCAGGCATCGTTACTGTCCGATGTTGCCAGTTTACCCGTGGTTCGTACCTTCTGAGCCACGGTATTCCAAGGATGACATCAAATTTGTCATCCAAATCCAATACGATAAAGTCATCGTCGTATTGGGTATCTTCTAGCGTATAGTGAATCTTCACTATACGCTTCATGACGGTTACGGATGGCGCTGTCGCAAGACGTACCGTCATCCTCGTAGGAGGTGTGTCACATTCACTGAATTTAAAGTGACCATCTTCTAGCGATTGGCGTCGCACAAAAATTGTTGGACGCCCCACACCGACTAGAGCTCGAAGGGACAACTTATTCGTCACTTCGAGTTTCAAGGTAATGAGTGAGATCTCATTACCTAGAGCAGCAACGCACAATGTCTGTGTGTTGGGAGCAACCTTCATCAAGAGGCCTACAAATTCTCTTGACTGTTGCTGGATCAGTAGGTGCTCCGCACCTACTGATCCTGTCCGTTTTTTGACGGTCCATCCCGTTGTTGCGTCTTTGCACCAACTGCGGACCCTCGTCCCTGCCCCCTTTCTCATGGGTGGACGGTCACTACGCCCAGTGTCGCGAGACACTGGACGAGGGGCACTACACTCGTAAGCGTAGTGTCCTGTCTCTTTGACATCTGTTGCATCTCTGCAACTTCTTGTAGCCTGTAGAGCGAGCCTTCTCGCTCTCTACATAACAGAGTTCCATCGGCTCTGGACCTCCGTTGTCATATCGTCTCGGTTGACGATATGATGTCGAGCTGGCGCGAGCCTGTCTCAGACTGAAGTCTTCCTGCTCCGCAATTGAAATGGCTTGTTCTAGTGAATCTAGTTCAAGCCGGAACAGGTGAGTCTTGACGGGACCATCCGCAAGACCCTGCATGAACACCGAAACCAACGTGTGTTCATCCACCGGATTGGAACTTATACAACTCGTGAGATGTCGTATATGTTGAGCGTAAGCGTGCACATCACGCTTACCCTGCTTGAGCTTCAAGAGTTCGGTTCGAGCTCTGAACTCAGCTCTAGGCGGTTCAAACGTTTGTCTGAGCCGCGACTTGAAGACTTCCAACGACCCAAACGCGTATGGGTCGTGCAGCTTGAGCCCCAGTGCCCAAGTCTTGGCACGTCCTGCCAGATTTGACTGGGCAAATGCAACTTGCATATCCCCGTCGTCGATGCGACGCGCCCTTATGGCGTCATCCAACTCGACGAACCATCTCAAGAGGGAGTCTTCTTCGACCCCCCTATACTTTGAGATGTCAATCTTCAAAGTCTCGGGCCGACGCGAGTGCATCGACCCGCCAGCAGCAGCCTGCTGCTGTCTCAACAGTTCAAACTGTTGAGCACCTTGTTCTCTCAACAACTCTGCTTGTTGAGAACCTTGTTGGTGAAGCAAGGCTACTTTCTCGCGTTCTGCGTCAAGTTCATTTTGAATGAACTTGGCGATAGTAGCATGTTGGGCATCTCTATTGAGAGCCTCTAGCATGACGCTAACAGCATGGATGCCCATGGTCGAACCCATTCGTTCAACCGCATCCCATTCGACATCGCTCAAATGGGAGTAGCCGTCACGCGTAGCGTGAAAGCTTTGGTCATCTTTCATCATCCAACATATTCATGTTGGATGTGAACGCGGTCCTTGGACGGACTACGAAGTGCTACCAGGTGTAACGGGGCACCCTGAAGCTTGTACTGGTGACAGTACAAGCTACTTATTCTGATAACAGAATCAGGCGGTGCCTGTAACTTCACGTACACTCGTACGTGCAGAGGAAGACGGTAAGAAGAAGCGAGTACTCGGTTAGAGTAAAAAGTAGAACTGTATTTATAATAGTTAATGTCTGCAATAAATCACTATTTATCTTCATCTAACTATGTCTAAATACAAATGTGTAAATCAGTTATCTGCTCACCACTCATTGCGTGCGTCTGTCGTGGCGCGTCTTCGTTGGTTGATATAATGGCCTATATCAACCAATTAGGAACTACTTGGAAGTGCTACCGAATATTGTCCTTATGACAATATTCTGAGAATATAACTCTTATAGTTATATTCTATTAACAATTTCTTATAAATTGTTATGTAACGATTCACCCCGTTACAAATATGGATTAAAATATTCACCAGAAACGTAATGGCCAAGGCTAGCGCGTCGTAGACAACTCAGACGGTCGCTAAAGGAAATGAAGAGTATATTACGTCGTTACGGACTAGCGAGACGATCGATAACGACCAAGATTCGGGATTCACGTTGGATTTGATCCTATGGTTATGTCGTATGGTGGGTCAGCGTTAACGAGTGAGAATGGTCTACCGACCCCAAGTCAATAATACGGCGAGAAAAATGGACCAGACGCTAACCAGATCCAATAAGTTGTACGTTGCGGAATTAGGACAACGGGGCTGGGATTATTACGCGGAGCGGTTGACGACTGCAATTAATACCGCACAGGACCGGGTCCAGAAAGAAACATTCTTTTATTCGGTCCATGGTGGGGATGCCGTATCCTCTCTTGAAACCGCACTTCCGATAATGAAAGTGTGACCCCAGGATTTAGAACCCAGAAGGTGAAGGTACCGCTTATTAAGCCAATACCAACAAGCAAGAGACTAATTTAACTAAAAGATGTGAGAGGCAAGACAGATGAGAGTGCAATCTCAGTACGAGGGGGTGGAAAACCACAAGATTCGATCAGAAATCCAAGTATGACTCTATCTCTACCGAGTAAAAAAAAGATGTACCAGGAAAACGGCTCATCTTTGTCACGGACCTTTACGTGTCCTGGAGTTGGCGGGAGACCATACCGCAAGTCTGGAACGGGATACCAACTGTTCCTGATTGTACACATATTTTAGCTTTAAGGGTTAGAAAACTCCTGATGGACCATAGATCAAGTTAACAGTGGACAAAGCAGATCGGGTTGAAATTGACGAATGCCTTCTGCTGGAAGACATTTTGCTTCAAGAATTGGAATAGGGTGGATACCAGGTCGAAGATATTTTTAAGAGCCTCACTGGTGTGAAAACACGTTCTGGACGACAGCAACGAGAGTTTCTCGTTCGCCGGGAGGGGTACAAAGACCTCACGTGGGTTAATGAACTTGATTTAAATTGTGGTGCATTACTTTGAGAGTTTGAACACAAGCAGACGTGCCACAATAGGTTTAAAGCTGTGCAGACGAAAGCTAGAGCTGTGTTTTGAAAGTCCCAGGGTGAAACTCTGTTCTTCATGGGTGGAATCAATCTTATACGGTGGACCGCGGTCTTCCATGGGTGGACTTGGTCTCTTATGGTGAATCACTTTATCTAATGAGAGACCGCGTTTCTTAAAGGTCAACCGAATTTCAAGTCCAAGATATAGTAAAATTTTCCGAGACGCGAAGATGTGATGACAAGAGCGAAAAGAAAACAACTAATTCAAGTTTATTAAGTCTAAGGAGGCGAAACCTACTTATTCTAGATGAGAGGAAACAAGTTGCCTGGGTGCACTTTCAGGTACAGTCGGTACTGCGTGAGACATATGAACGACGATTCACAGTTTTTAAAGGCTTCAAGAAGGTTGACCGGGTTGGACTTCTTCTCTCACCACGCCTGGACCGCTCGTGCCCGGCGATTCTTCCGACCGTTATTGTAAGATCGAGATCGTGCGCGCTTGCTTTTTAGAGGTTCACAAGCAGTGAGCCGAATCTCAGAGTGCTTGACTGTGGTCTCCATCGAACCGCTAGTAGGCGGCGGCCAACTTAGCAAACCAGCCTACCTGCTGAAACGATACGGGGGGGGGGACTTGGGGAAGATTCAAAGTCTCAGCGGCCAGCAAACCTCTGACCACGGCGGAGGAAATCAGCTATAACTTTCACTGTGAGAAACGGCCGACGTTACCGACGGGGAAAGGGCCCAAAATAATTCCAAGGTACGTCGCTTCGTTTGATTAGATCACTCGGATTCATTTTCATGATGCTTTACAATCTAACCAGGTCCGCGGGAAACGACGTCACTCCTTCTTGGCGAAAGTCTCCTTCTGCATGAGGAAGATAATCATGTACTTCGGTGGAAGCGTGTGGTCCGTTATTAGATCCAGACCTGGTTCACATACGGTCGCTGGGGTGTCCTTCTTTCTAATTGCTTAATCGGTGTCGGAGTCTTTAAGGTAATCTTTAAATGAGCGGACAATCGGACGGATGTCCGACGAGGGAGCCTGCCTTATCTCTAGGAGGAAGGGAGGTCGTTCGAAGTGGGACCTTCCCCAAATGAGATCCTTTAAGCGCGGCGGTTGCTCCGGGGAGGAGCCAATATTTTTTCAGATACTCGAGAGGCGTCGTACAGCTCGGCCTGAAGAAGAATCTGCTGGATCGGCCAATAGTGAATCCGCCATCCTAGATGTGTAACAATCGCCACCTTATACTGTAACTTTTTGCGGAGTCGGGCCATCAGGCTGAGGCGGTCCCGTAGCTCATCTTCCTGTCTTTTGCATCAGGCCATCCAGTAATCGCCGGAGAGATCAGTCAACGTAAGCCCGCGCTCACATGTCTTCATGCGGCGCGCATGTTCTGCCACGGCAGACAGAAGGTCGACTAATGTATGGATCACAGAAGTCGGAGGGCGTAGCGAATGGGTCTGTGGCCTTTAAATGTCGATGGAGTAGAAGTCACTGGGACGTCCAACAACGCAGATATTGTGTCTGGTGAGTTGCCGGTCTTGGCGGCCGAAAGGATGGAGGCTGCTGAAACATCCACCTACGTGGCTAACATGGTAGGTGAGGCGACGGTATTGGCTGTTAATGGGGATGAGGCGATCGGGTCGCCCACCGATACAGCCAACGCGGCAAACGATTCTACGATGGGGAATAATGACTGCGTGGAGGCAGCCAAATCGCCTCATGAGGCGATCATAGTGGCAGACGAGTCGAAAGTCGTGACGACCGACTAAGTGAAGGCGACCAACTCACCCCCCAACGTGATTAATGTAAAAGATTCGATGATGGAACGATGTTAAAATTAGATAGGTGTAATACCAGTGTGTGATATTTAGATGGGGTTTCATTAGGGGGTAGTACGATCCAGGCGAAGACATGGCGAGAATAACATCAATAAAACAAAGAACTACTTACGGGATCAAGCATAAAAACTTTCTAGATAGGGGCGGGGGGGGGGGGGTAATGATATTCGCTTGATCAAACTACAGTTCGGCTGAACAAAAGCAAGGGGAGGCTGTGGTGAAGTTCGCTCAAGTAAGATGATAGACCTAGGGAATACCAAGATAAAGGAAAGGGGTATACATTAACGATAAGGGCGCCTGGGCAAGGACTCATGAAAGTGGCTAGACCCTTGAGAAAGAAGGATTCGCTGAGAAAACAAAGAAGAAGACATTTGCTCGAGTACTGCTGAAGCGGTACAGAATAAAGGTGACTACAAAATCTCATTGGTGAATCTGGTCTTAAAAAGTGAACTGCAGTCCCTAAAGTTAGACCGCAGCCCCTTACTATAGATTCTGGCCACTCACTGGTAAAACTGGGCCCCTTATTAGTAGGACTGGGTCCCTCATCGGTAGACCTTGTTCACTCATCGTTAGACCTGGTGTCTCATCTGTTAACGTGGTTTTTTATCGGCAGACCTGGCCCCTCATCAATAGACCTGGTTTCTCAGCGGTTGACCCAGTCCCTAATTGGCTGTCTTGGTTCCTTATCAGTTAAAACTTCGTTACTCATCCGTTGACCTCATCCACTATGATTCAGCTACTCCTGACCAGTCGCATAGAGAGTAGAGCACAAGGAAAGGATGGAGTAAAGAAGCTAAAGGATAGGACGATATTCTATACTAATCAATTTGCGATCCACTTGACACGACTCTGTCGTACTTATAGAACTTGGTACGTCCGCCCGCCTGTTTCGGGGAAGGAAGATTTTTGCCCCCACCCCGTCGAAAAAGTTGCGGTGTATGACTCCAGTGCAGATAGAAACCCAGAAAGCATTTTCCCTGTGGGCTCGTCGAGTAGCAACACCCCACTCAAGACCCGCTACCAGAGGCGGTCTTTCTAACACACGGTTAGGGTGCAAAGTAAATACCAGGAGGTTAATACCTCTGAGACAAAAAGGAAAATGCCGGAGCGACAAGATACCTATAGAAATCGGCTATACGTACATTCTTGACTGGTTCTATCGAATGGTCACCTGCCGGCGCACCTGGTGAAGCATACCCACTTTGAGAACGGGCTACCTCTATCAAGACCATATATCTTCCTCTCCGTCCGAGTCGACCAAAGGGTGCAAACCGCAAGCCGACGGGTACACAAGGCCAGGCAAGTTCCATACGCAGAAGCGGGTAACCGCCCCCCGTAAGTCGGAAGTCTGGTGCATTGAGTGTTTAGGGGATCAACGTGAAATATTGAGAAATCACTGCACTATAACGGAGAGCGCGGCCATATATTTGGAAGCTGCGGGATTTTACTGCAAGTCATAAGAAGACAATTATGCTTAATTTAAGATTGAGAAAAAGACCAAAGCGTTACTGGAGGATCTATTGCTAGTGACTAAATAAGAAAAAAAGAGAGAAGCAAAGGACGTGCCGGTTCTTATGAGGGACCAGGTCAACAAGTTCACGAATCAGCGTATCAAAGAAAAGTTTATGTACCTTTCATATCCTCGCACATGACACATTGGGTCATTATATCTATCATGCCGCAGAGGACGCGCAGAAAGCACTACTGGAGGACACCTTGAATCATCATGCCTATCATGCCTCAAAGGACCAAAAGCAGACGGTGAAAGTCTGGATGCTAACGTCCCCGAAAACCAACAAAAACAATAAATTGCAACGTCTAAGCCGTAAACGTTCAAGATAAAGGCACCCTGTGACACCAAGTCGGTTGTCCCGGACGACCAAATCCCGACACCAAGCCAGACGTCTCAAACCACTCAGGGAAGCTTTCATGGTTATACGCCGACATAAAGAGGTTCTATAACTTAGATAAGCTTGATACGCTCCCAAACAGCGGCCCAGTAACGATTTCCCTAGAGACTTAAATGCTTACGACAGTAGTCCCCAGAGTTGTGTTGAGCCCACGAAACACTCAATGCACCAGACTTCCGACTTACGGGAGGAGGTAACCCGCTTCTGCGTATGGAACTTGACTGACCTTGTGTGCCCGTCGGCGTGCGGTTTGCACTCTTTGGTCGACTCGGACGGAGAGGAAGATATATGGTCTTGATAGAGGTAGACCCGTTCTCAAAGTGGGTATGCTTCACCAGGTGCGCCGGTAGGTGACCATTCGATAGAACCAGTCAAGATTGTACGTATAGCCGATTTCTATAGGTATCTTGTCGCTCCGGCATTTTCCTTTTTGTCTCAGAGGTATTAACCTCCTGGTATTTACTTTGCACCCTAACCGTGTGTTAGAAAGACCGCCTCTGGTAGCGGGTTTTGAGTGGGGTGTTGCTACTCGACGAGCCCACAGGGAAAATGCTTTCTGGGTTTCTATCTGCACTGGAGTCATACACCGCAACTTTTTCGACGGGGTGGGGGCAAAAATCTTCCTTCCCCGAAACAGGCGGGCGGACGTACCAAGTTCTATAAGTACGACAGAGTCGTGTCAAGTGGATCGCAAATTGATTGGTATAGAATATCGTCCTATCCTTTTCCTTCTTTACTCCATCCTTTCCTTGTGCTCTACTCTCTATGCGACTGGTCAGGAGTAGCTAAATCATAATGGATGAGGTCAACGGATGAGAGATGAAGTTTTTTACTGATGAGGGACCGAGCCAATAAGGGACCGGGTCAACCGCTGAGAGACCAAAGTATATAGATGAGGAACCGGGCCCACCATTGAGGGACAGATGTCTACCCTTACGTACCGGGCCCACCAATGATTGACCGAGGTGCACCCTTGGAATCCGGGTTCGCCGGTACCCAATGAGGTTGTCTAGTCACCTTCTTTCGATACCGCTTAACTGGTTGACGGCAACTGTCTTCCTCGTGATTGAATGTGCGTGTCCCTGTTCTTTCGAGGGTTTAATCAGTTTCGTGACCCGTCTCTTTCAGAAGCCCTTTCTGTGAGAGTGGCCCCTTAACCCTTCACCCGAATAACCGGGTTCTAAATATCTCATGAGCACTTTAACACATTTGTACAACATCGTAAATCAGCACTGAAGCGTTGCGAACTATAACTTCGGTGACAATCTTATAATTAAGACATATGTAGTCCATGCCGACTTTCTGGCAATGTGATTCTCTTGCACCGTAACTATGAGGACTTTACCCTCATGAAATCTTATTTTAGCTTTAATGAGCCCTTCTTGAAATGATAAAAACGATCACATTGCTGAGGTCTCTTTACCTAAAGCTGCTATTTCGCGATGCGATATCAAGCAATTATGCGTTTTACATGAAGTCCAGGCAGTTTTTAAAGAGACTTAATTGCTTCTTACAAACAATATGGAGCCTAAGTTTGTGACCAAAGAACCACATACAACATAGTAACTAATTTCACTTTTTTAATTTTGGCAATTTAGTGGACAACACTACACGTTAATATGCGAATATTTTACAATTTTTTTTTACGATGTAGAATATTTTAAAGGTTGTTAAGCAATTGGCAAGAGCCTGAAACAATTTGTTATGTGATAAATCACCGCAATACGAGTTATTTACTTAAATTTGTTGTTTAGGACAGCATCCTGGATATGTCTTGTAAAGCAATTAACGGCATTTGAGCCATAACGTGTTGTGCCAAAAGGCCACCAGTGATTGGCGTATCATTTACGATTTCTCCAAGGAGATACCGAATTGCTTGCTAAACAACAATTTCGTGCGAAGGCATAGTATTGCACGCCATGATTTCGAGCAAAATTTACATGGTCATTGTTTTAAAGAAATCCAAGCCCACAAGAAAAAGGTTCAATTCCCAATTTACCTCGTCGAGCACACATCGCTGAGCACACACAAACTATAAGTAGCTGCCGACCAGTCATTTCGAATGCCTCGTCAACTTTCACGCTTCACCTAGCCGAATCCATTCTTAGCGGAAATGTTGTCGTTCAAGTCTTAGCTCTTAATTTATTGTACGAACATGGTTTCGCCTTCGCCGCCGCTGCGTACTTTGTCTCCACCGCGTACTTTGCCGTCACCGCGCTCGTCGGCTTCAACGCGCTATTCTGATCTCACGCCAAATCAAGCGCCACGTCGTCTTATGCCTCTTCGTCCCTGACGACAGCTTGTTTACGGCCAGCTACTCGCTAATTCGTGACGATTCGTCGGCGTACGACGATTGCTTATTCAAGGAGAGCTTGCAACTGTTTAGGCTTGTTAAATCTGTGCAGTGCACGCGCACGTGGAGTTTTGCAGAACGTCTGGCGGCTGGACATAGACCCGACGAGATTTCTTAATCACTGGCGGGGGATTCTCAGCCAGCCACTTGGCAGGCTTATCGCGCTTCTTTGCGTGACTTATTCTGGTTACTCAACAGAGAATATCCTTTTCTGCACTTACGCGGCTCTGCACTCATTGGGTGGTCTTGCGTCGCAGGTCTGCGGAACGACGGTCCATATCCGCAAGTATTTGAAGTACGACAAACTACCCTTCGTGGATCTGACCCGACTGCCAGGTGACGTACCGGACCTCACCATCCTTAGCTGATTTATGGAACGCGAGGCCCGTCCGGTGCTCATCACGCCTACTTATGTTGCTGATGAACATAAGTCTTGGGGCCGTATGGTGTACTCCCACGCAGAAATGCCCGGACGGTCTTTTTCTAGAGAATGGTGAACCGCTTCGCGAGACCTTTTTTGACCCGGAAGGCAAATTGTGCTGTGTTTAATATCGACTTCGTAAGTGTAACCATGTCAACCGTCCGTCGCTTCGTCGAGTGGCTACTTTCGAATGATCACGTTGGTAAAGCCAACATGGAGATTGGTGACAGCTCGTCTCACGAGATCATTATGGACGCCCTAGTGGGTGGTCTTCTGTTTCTTCAGTTGTCCGCGCCTCTGGCTCGAGTTATACCTCAATGCATCGACGAAGATGCCGTCGACGAAGACAATCATTTTCAACTCCGTTGGGGCTTATACTGGAACGTGGATGCTCTTTCAAGCTTACCGTCGGATGTTACGCAGGGGGCCGGACCAGTGTGCATACAAGATGGTTTAACGGCTTGTACCTTGAATCAGGATCCTGCAGACCACTTTCACTACGGTACTCTATGTTAATCACTGTGTACAACTCGTACGATGTGCTCACAGACCATGCCCACGATGAATCCCAGCCGCCTGATGTAGACATTGCAGTTTATGATCAACATGGCAATAGCCTTACTGGGTTTCCTGCGGACTCACCTCTGGTTCTTTAAAGCTCGGTCCAAGCCCTGATGGAGGCGCGTAAGCCCAAGCCCAAACGTCAACATTTTTCAGTTTAAGAACTGGATGTGTTGATTGCGGAGTTTGTTGCTCAAAACTTGATGAGTTTCTCGTCTCATGATAATTTACTTGCGGCGAATTAAGTTCAACTGGCTTATCTTCGACAGATTTACAAGTTGCCATAAGATTGCTTAAAACAGTTTTTGCACTCATGCGTTTTATTGTGCTGTCAGCCATATATCGCTCCCTGCTGGACAGAAGGATTTGCTTGCCTTCTAATACGCCACGTTTGGAGCCCCTGCGGCTTCAATAGATCAAGTATTCGACTACGTTTTTCTTGCTGATGAAGTCCGCCGAGCAGCGCTGTGCTGGTCTAAGTGCGACTTGTTTTTGGTGATTTTCGCGCCTATAAATTTATGTTCGATCCTGTGAAGCTTTCGATGCTTCTTCCGCCTGACTCGAAAGCAAACTTTTTTCGCAACTCGCCGTTTCTACATTGGAGAGATATCAACTTGCAGTGCGTCACACATTCAGATGCGGTGGCTGTATTTTTGGCCGATGATCGAATCTCGGCCGACATTTGCCTTGCTCTTTAAGCTCTCAAAGAAACTACTCTACCTGCAGACGAGACTGCATCCAGCCAAGTCGTCCCCGCTCATCTCAAAGGCGGCCTGAGCCTTTACTGGCATCTCGCTCAACATCAATAGATAAAAACATCCGCATATGGTGATGTACGAGCGGCTTCTTTCCAATTATCAACTGGTGGCGTTTCAAGTGACTAAATATTTCAAATCTGACGGTATCCATACTAACGAACACTTCATTTTTGCGGAGGATTCCGGCTCTTGATGCTTTTGGTCCGACACCACTACGTATGTTATTAATAAGAGACATGGCGTCGGTTTGGTGCTCACTTTTGCGGCACCTGTTCAGGTAGTTCAAGATTTGACTCCAAGTGTTAAAAGAGAGCTGTATTGACTTTAAAGGTAAAAAGAGAACTGTATTTGATATAGTTAAGCTGTCAATATAGCTTCAGTATTTATCTAACTACATTAAGATACGCGGTCGTATGACGTCAACCTGCTCACCACTCATTACGTGCGTCTAGCAGCGATTGGTGGTAAACCTTGGTTGATATGTCCTTATCAACCAACCTTTGAGCAGCGCATGAATATTATACTACAACGGGATAATATTCCTTCAATATTATCCATCTCGGATAATATTGGCAGGGAATTGTCACGCTAGACAATCTCCCTATTGACACCGTTTGTTGGCAAAGCTTAATAATACCTATCTTCTTCTTCGGACTATGATGGAAGGCGAACGCATGTGCATTCACAATGTATACGTGCCGGATAAATTGTCCGCGCGTAGTGATTTTTTTTGAATTCTACCTACGGATTTTGACGGCGGCGATGTGGATGTCACTATTAAGCACATTGTTGTCGGAGATTTCAACGTACTCTAGACAAAAATTTGGAACAGAAGCTTCCGGCACTACAACACCCTGGTACTGGACGCGAAGCCCTCATATATTGGCTCAATTAACTTAGATGGGTGGACTCGTGGCGTTATATGTACCCAAAAAATCGTGACTTCACCAGTCCCAAGCGCAAAAATCGACTGGAAAACTGCTTTATCACAGTGGATCTCGTCCAAGAGAATTTCGACACAGTGAACCACGTCCGCGATCGACGTTGGCATACTGAATATCATGTTTCTGTTTAATTTAGGCTTCATGCGAAGCCTGTTCCTCGCGGGAAGCAGCCGCCTTGGATATGCCCTACGTGGCTGCTAAACGACTTGTCGGTTTAATGTTATTTGATCGCCTCAGTACAAACTTAGGCCAACTAATCATAAATTTTAAAGTGCAAACCCTTTGTTTACTCGACGAACACAAGCGCGCGGACTGCATTCATTTGCGGCGGAGATGGTTGGAATTTCGCCACATTGATTAAGACACGCGCATTGTTTGTAAATATAGCGGTCAATAATGCTAACAAATTTCCAATATCACTTGAACGGACGGGAGCTACGCAGTGGCGGAGCAATTAAATTGTCGTTAAAGACCCACCTCAGGGATGTAGAATCTCACAATCAGTGCAAAAAGTTTGCTGCCAGCTTACGCTCTAGTGAACAAGTCACCAGTCATTCCTTCTGACCGCCCCAACAAGATTGTTTGCAGTCTCCTATTACTGTCTTCAAGGACTAAGATGGTTTTGTAAGCCGATGACCATGCCCAGATTTCGACAGGACACCATAAATTTAGGGTCAACATTTCCAGTCGCCTTCGTTGGATCTCTAAGGTCAAAGCACAGCTACATACCAGCCTCTTCGACTGGTTATTTATCTCCGCGATACGACGGCTCGCCTTTCGACGGATCGAGATTCGCTAATGAATGCGCCTTTCACGGCTAATGATTCTTACTAGGCTATTACGACTTTAAAAAAAAGGAAAGGCGCCTAATCCAGATGGTCTTTATAATGACTACTGATAGTGCAATATTAAAAGTATTACAGGTAATTTAATTGTTTAGAATCTCTTTTTTTCAAACCTATTGAATGCTCTAATGTGGCTATTCACGAGTGGGCTAGAATATTTGAAAATGTTCGTGACATCAGCTACGACGTGGCAAGATGACAAGGTTTCAGCGAAGGGCACATTTATTTTTCCTCTAAAAAGCTGGTGACCGCACGCTTCCAGATTATTACCGACCGCTCGCGCTGCTAAATTATGATGCGAACCTAGGTCCCAAGATTTTGGCTTATCGTCTACGACTCGTGTACCGCCTCTCATTCACGAAGATCAAAGTGCATTTATTCATGGTCGGTCTATTCGACACTCATTGCTTCTCTTTAAAGATCTACAAAGGTTTTTCAAGGCACACCACCCCGATAATTGCGCGGTAATGTTAGAATTTGCCAAGTCTTTCGATAGTGTTTGTGCCTGCGCTGGATTTGGTACTTCATCACTTCGGTTTTAACCCAAATTGTCGGGCTTGGATCTTGACATTTTATTCGCAAAATTCGGTCAGTATCATACTGAATAGATCACCGGAGACCCCTTCGTGTTGGGTGCTGGTATTCGCCAGGGTGATCCGCTGTCACCTGGGCTATTCGTTCCATTTATCGAGCCCATGATGATTGTTTTGTGCGCTCGATTTTCAAGCCATGGAGTTGTTGTAGATGGATCTGATGATCCTCATTTACTCATGGCATTTTGTAGACGACTGTACTGGCCTCATCACGGTTATCAATGATGCTGATGGATTTCCTGGATTGGTCAACAATTACTTAGTGCGGCTGGTCTTCTCCAAAATTTTAGTAGGACGTCAATAAAAGCATTCTCTCATCGGATATCACATTCGAAACTGGCTGATCTTCGAGCTACGTCCCCCTTCACAGTTCTCGGAGTGACGGACACAGTGAAGCTACTTGGCATTCTTCAAGGCGCTGCTATCACTGCTGACACTCGATTTTGTCATGTGATCTTAAAGTTACGAGCGCGCTGTGCTATATGGAAATACTAGACACGGACATTAAGTGGGAAAGTTGTTCGCTTACAGAGTATTACTTTACCATTGCTTTGGTACACTATGAGTGTGACTAGTTTCACAGCCTCGGCGTTGAAGAGCGTCGCATAAATTTTTTGTCATTTTGTCCACACCAAGGAAAATGACAGCGACTAAGCCATCCCGGGCAAGTTCGACAAAGATGGATCAACGCAAGTGTGGGACAAAGTGTATTAGGACTTACTCCTGTTAAAGAATTTATGCAAGCCATGCAATTGAAGTCTTCAGTCGATACTTTATCGTTTACATGCTCCAATTGTGATGCACCACGCTAGATGACTCCTGCACTTTCTCTCTTCTAGATAGCACTTGGATCTCAAGTTTACGGGTTCGACTTACTAAACGCAGTGGTCAAGGGCTTCCGGAAACTTATACCGAATTTTCGGTTCTCTACGCTTCGCTTATGGACCGATTTACACATGGCCAGTGAAACTACCGATCGGAAGCAGTTTTCACAAACCAGGCCTTTTAAAAATAACATCAACTTTCTCTGCGGAGAAACGCAACGATTGATGATCAAGCTGTCGACCAACAACGCCTCGCTGCAAGCACACAGAATATGTCGTCAACAAGACTTGGTGCATACTTTTGGTTCCTTTGCGACAACTGAGTTTTTGGCTGCTCTTTTGAACGCTGAAGACTTTTTTCGAACTGCTTAAAAGACTCAATTTATCGCGCAATTGATTCTACGCCTTGAACTGCTCACGCCCCACACGACTCCGGATCCGGTCCAGTGTTCTCTTCTTTGATTGAATCGTCAAGGCACAGTTGAGTTCTGAAAATCATTTAGTGGCTGCTATGACGAACAAGGACATCTTTCGACTTCTTCTCAAGGCACATCTAGATCCAAAGATACCTACGTTACTCTTACAGCAGCTAACTATTGCCGACTTTACGCCTACGGACGACATGTGGAATCTCGAACATAGTTTGGATCATCACGTTCTTCCTGTCGCTTAGGATTTTAATAACCGGCTTCAACACAATGCATTGGGTTTTCGGTACAAGTTTCGGTGGCAAACGAAAGTCAACATTACTTTCACTTGTACCCGATGGATACGACGCGATGGAAATCGCCATACATTTATTCGGCTTTTATCTGTGTCTTTCCTTCAATGGGACTTCTACTTACCACCTTTTTGGGACTTTTTGATGACGACATTACTTGGTCGAACATACTAAACCCATGTTCACTACGACTACTCACGTTAATTATCAAGGTGTAAGGTGCACGAGTGCTGTTAATTTTCTTCACTAAAGTTCTCTGCTGCGTCTTTC